GCTCTGGTATGAATAAGTAGAGTGATCGGTGTCGTTAAAATGCCGTCGACAAACTTGGTTGGTAAAAAGGTGCACAATCAACAGGAACCAACCAACAGTATCTGAGGTTTTCACTAAAATTACTAAGTACAAGTGTGAAAGCGAAAGATTGAAGCAGTGTACTGACGCTGTGACCTGTTACCTGATAGATTCAAAAGACAGAAGAGTCGTCAGATAATATTAATTATCCCGTTTGACAACTATAGCGAGACGCAATCCAGCGGTACACCCTTGATAAACTCCCCAACGTGCACTGCTCTCTGGGGTTTGTGCTCAGACAAGCATGTATGTGCATCCGTGCATTTTCAGCAGTATAGTGTGGACGGAGATCTGTTCAGAAATGCTTGGTGAAACGCCAGTGTGGATGTGGATCGTTTTTGATCTAAAATGCCATTTTAAAACTAAAATGCATTAGAGTAAACTGGGCCCCAATTGTGTATTTTTCGCGACTGGGCAGGGCAGGGGATCGCGATGCCGGCTCAGTATAGTGATGTCTAGCAACTATCGGCTATGGATGATGGCATTGTCTATCCACCCAACCCTATATGACACCAACCCCATTTATGGCTGTTCTACACATTCTTATCCTCCAAATAATGATCACGCTGCTCTTCTGGTGTGATTCACAACTTGGTCTTGACGGCAAATCTCTTCCCAAAACGACCGTGAATCTTTGTCTACAAGTTTATATGGTGTTTGCTGTAATGAAATGTGCGTATGACAGGATGGACTGTACTTCGCGTTCATTTCATACAGATTACAAAGCCAATTAAAAAATTGTTTTCAAGTGTAGTGGGTTTATTTAAAAGCAGAGATTTAAAGCTTTATGTGGATATATTTCTAATATAATTCTAATATTCGCAAGTATTCGCTGAGGTTTTGGTGCGATCACAGAAACTGTTGTAAAAGTAGGGCTGCACAATCATTCAATATCAATATATAAATCGCGATAGATTTTTTTTTCAGTAACGGTGATGATTTTTAAACTCATTTCCGGTATTTTTATATAAATTTGCATATATTTTTTTTTTTTCATTATAATTTATAAGATCTTATACATTGTCCCTGAATGACTTTCAGTGCTCACTCGTCAGAAAGAGTTTGATGTCACTTGCGTGATGACGTACATCACAGACAAGCTGCCAGCGCTGAGCAGTTGGTTAAGCTCCTTCGCACAGTTGACAAAAAGTTTTAGCTGCTAAATAAGTGCCCTGAATAAAGTTGTGAATGAACAAGCTTCCACAAGTAAGAATGCGGGCAAATTAGTTTATGAGAGAGATAAGACTAATGCAGTGGTGTGAAAGTGGTTCTGCGACTAAACTAAGTTCTGATAAACTTAGCTTTGGTGCTCTTCAAAATGTGCGGGAGACTGGTGCTGAATAGCAGCAGGAATGCATCAAATCTGTTCCATCCGATAGAACATACTGGCAATGAAGCTAACAGTTGGCTAGAGGCGCAGTGTAGGATTTAAACCAAACTTCGCTTATCAACACGTGCATATACACCTATAAATTACTCGCATTTAAACCTATACTATGGAATGTTCAAAACATGTATGAAACTTGCGCATATACATATAAACTTGATGCATGCATACATCCACATATACACTCACATTAACACACGCACATACATATAAACTCAATCCTCGCATAAACACCCAAATTAGCACTCACATACAAAATAAAACTTAAATAAAACTCCCAAACATATTTATCATCAATCTGGTTATTGCAAAGCTGATGAAATAGAAAGAATGTGATCAATAAAGGTATTCAATCTCTTAAATAATGAAAATGTGTTTTAAAAAAATTAGTCTATATAAATAGACAATATAAAATAAAATATATAAGAAATATTTTGTTAAACCTTTTAATTTAATTGGGTAATTGCATACACAAATATAGTCAGGTAGAACCCTTAATTAATGTAGCCTATACTCTTTGATTTTTTTTTTTTTATTATTATAATTATTAATCTTTTTCTGTTTTTTTTTACGATGTGGATGTCATAATTGTACGATTTTTGTATTATTTTGATTGAGAAATATTCAGCATATACAAAAAAAAAAAAAAAACACTGATAAAAGTTTCTGTTCACGTTGGTCAAGCTAACCTCCATGATCTATGTCTATATATTATTAATATAAATAAATAAGCTAATTCTGAAAGTTTTATTTATTTGATTGTTTTCCACATTTCTTGTTTGTAAAGGCTAAATACAAATAAAAAGTGAACATTAATTTTTTGTATTGTTTTTATATAAAAAAAAAAAGTTACAAGAACCTGGAGGTATTATAAACATTGGATATTCAGTTTGCAGACATTTGTAGGTACAGACATCCATTGTGTGTGGTCTTAGCAGTATTTTTCCTGCCTTTTTAATATTGTCAAAATCGATATCGGAATTACATTGTATCGACCAAAATTAAGAAATATATTGTGATATTTTTTTTTGCCATATTGTCCAGCTCTATGATCAGCATCTGGTCCAATTCAGACATGCAACAAGACGTACCCCAAACAACGTATTTAAGATTTGCAAAAAATGTAGACAGTGCCCTCTAGTGGTATTGTCATGTGAAACATGTATCAAAACATTCCTGAAGCAATGTATTTTATGTTGTTTCACTAAAAAAACAAAAAAGAGAGACCGAGACATGTATTTTTAGAGAGCCTAGGCTGTTTTTTTTTTTTCCACAAGAAGACAACTTTAGAGCTTTGAGTGCCTGTAGTTTGATTGTTTGACATCCCTGATTGAGTCAAGTCTGGGTTTCGCACATCACATGAGATCAACAGTGAAACCTCCTTGACAGATCAAAGATGAAGCGTACAAATCATACCGTATCTGCACACCTCTGACATACAAACAAGCACTGTACAATAATCATCATCATAGTCAGAGTGAGAAAAATAACTGCTGAACCACAGCAGTTTCTTTAATAAAATAACAATAATCTGCCTTCTGAATAATTGACATTCTCCAAGCAGATGAGTCAAAAGGATGATTTCATTCACTGGCACGGCATGTACCACAATCATTTTTTTTAAATGTTATCGATTATACTTCACACATTCAATCACGTCAGGTTTTTTGTTTTCCTCAAAGGTTTTATAAGTCTGTTTTTTTGTGCAAAACCTGCAAGTTCTCCATCAAGTCAGAAAGCAGTGAGGCAGCATTTATCGATACCTCAGGAAACCCTTAAAACCCTCCGATCTGATAAAGGTACCGCAGTGCAACTGGCAGGACTCCATTTACCAATTAACAGGAACATGCCAACCACAAAACGGCCACCAGAAACGGCAGCAGACGTGTTAAAACAAACAAAGCGAGCGGGCAGCAATCCCTGAAAGCGGTTTGAGTGCATTCACAGACAAAACCCTTTGAGAGGGCATCTGCGAACACCTCAAGAATAGTGCGAATGAAGCGACTCCACACTGTCACACATCATTATCTCCACAAAGAGGAATACAGCAAATGGGAACAATAGCACGAAAACTCATTTTGCCTTGAGATTACACTGTCACCTCAGATCTGCTGTGATTTGTTCTATCAATTATGCAACATTTCTTGCACGTTTTCTTGTTGTTTTTTTTAATTCACCAATGTGTTGTAATGCATTATATTTAAATAGCTCATTATCTGATCTTATTTTGTTTACATCTTATTTACATTTAAAAAACAAATCACACTTTGCTTTCCCAGAGATAGGTTGCGCCTGGAGGGGCATCCGCTGCGTAAAAACTTGCTGAATAAGTTGGCGGTTCATTCTGCTGTGGCGACCACGAATTAATAAAGGGACTAAGCTGACAAGAAAATGAATGAATGAATCATACTTTGCTGTGAACTTCAGTCTTATTTGCCAAATATTCCCATAACATGACAAGAAATGCCTATACTCGAAAATATGCTGGGTTATCTTAACCCAAATTGCGTAAAATAAGAACAAATCTAAATTGTCAAATTGTAATAATTGTATAAATGTTATGAAACTAAATTAACCCAGAGGTTGGTTTTGTCCATATTTAACTCGAAATTGGGTTGAAATAGTCTTAGTCTAAAAACGTACAAACTCAGAAGTGTTACATTTTTATCCAAATACAAACAACCTAAAAATAATATTTAAATGCATATAGAAAATAATAGATTTCTTTGCTTTCTGTCGTTTACAGCTAGCTATTTATTTTTTGATATGCAAATAAAGTACAAACTGTAAAAAAAAATGCTGGGTTGTTTTAACTCTGTATACCATACAGTATATCATTCTCAAACACGGGCAAAGCAACAAAAGGTTAATATTAAGTTAAATATAAATTACATTGTTCAACCTAACCATTAGGTTTGAACATATTTGACACAGAATTGAGTTATAACAACCCAGCATTTTTTTTTATTTAAATAATATTTTATCATACATTATATCATTCTTAAATGTATTATAAAACATATACAAATAAAACAGTACAAAAATGTTCAATCACTTCAACTCAAAATCAACAGCAAAACTAAATTTGGAAACTAATTCAATAGCAAAACTACATTATTATTTGGCCATATGAATGCAATATTAACACAATAAATAAATCAATAGCCAAGTGGTTGGATTTGTCCACATTTTACCAAAATTGGGTTGAAAATACATTTTTAGACTGAGAAACGTCCGCACAAATGTAAAATTGCATCTTACATTCATCCAAATGTGTCATCAATTCACCAAAACGTAGTTGTCTTTCACAGCAGCAGTAATCTAATCTGTAACAAAGTTACTTAAGCAAGTCTAAACCCATCGTATGATTTCCACTGAACACACATATCCTGTCCAAAAGTATTCTTCCTAACTCATTTAAAATCACATTAAATCCACTGAACATAGCTACTCCTGTCCAAAAGTATGCTCCCCAAGTGCCTGTTAGAATCCCTCACAGTACTAGAAGTTGATTTGATGTATCTGGTTGTCTTACCCATGTCGGTACCAGGAGGCTGGCGGGTCTCTCTAGCAGATCAGGCTGGTGTTTGGCGGCTGCGTTCATCTCCCATGCAGCCTCCGCTTCGGTGCACTGAAGTCACACACACTTGGATCTGTCATTTATATCCAGTGATGGCCGGGCATCGCGCTCCAGCATCCAAATGGACCGGAGGCTCGGAGGTTTAAAGACACATCCAGACGGAGCCGAAGTGGTGATTTTGTGGGGATGCGGGTTATTCCTGCAAGCCGGACAGAAGCGCGCAGTGCTGGGGAAGCGGAGCGCAAATGTGGAGCCGTTTCCTCCCGCTGCCTCAGATAATAATGTGAGGAGGCTCCAGCTCGAGCTGCTTTAACCCATCACTGACTGAACTCCAAAGCGTTGAAAACTGTAGAGATATTCAGAAGAAGATTACCAATATTTCAAACGCCATTGTGACGACTTAACGCTCAGATATAAAGTAACGTTAGCGAAAGAAAATGGCGGCGAGATTAAGTTTAAAAACATTTGCGCGAATCAGTTCTCGTTGAATCTTTTCTAAATACTTAGAAGAACCCAAATAAAAACAGGCTATTAGTAAAAAAAAAAAAAACGATATATTCTGTATAATGTTTTTGAACAACAGCATACCTTATAGTAGCTAATGTATCTGTTGTGGTGATTATATAGTTGCTATGGTAACAACAACTGCAGTATTTTAAACAAATGACCTAAAACTAAAGTATTTATTGCAGTTTACCAGTTCACTATTGTTAATACTACAGTTTGCGGACTGTAATATATTAGTAGCCTAACGTTTGCACTATGGTTCAAAATACAGTATTTATCGTTGGTATTTAGGCCTAATTTTGGTAAAGCAACATTAGAGGATCCAGGCAAAAGATCTGGATGCAGCCTTTATGATGCAAACTTTAATTCATCACTGACTGAACTCCAAACAATAAAAACTGTACAGATATTCAGGGAAAGATTAATAATGCTTTAAACGCCATTGTGAAGACTTCGCGCTGACTTTTCTTTTTTGACAAAAAAATTAGCTTGCTGTCTTTGTTGAGTCTTTTGTAAACACACTCAGAACACAATTAAAAACAAAAATAGTAGCCTACTAGCAATAAAAATATATTAATAGTAAAACTTTATGGTGATTTTGAACCACCCTGCTGAAAAATCCAGCTTAAACCAGCCTAGGCTGGTTGGCTGGTCTTAGCTGGTCGACCAGCCTGGTTTTAGAGGGGTTTTGGCCATTTTCAGGCTGGTTTCCAACCATTTCCAGCCTGGTCCTAGCTGGTCAGGCTGGAAAATGACCAGCCAAATCCAGCTAAAACCAGCTCAACCAGCCTGGTTGAGGATATAGCTGGTTTTGGCTGGACCCGCAGCTTGGCTAGGCTGATTAAGCCTGACCAGCTAAGACCAGGCTGGAAATGGCTGGAAACCAGCCTGGAAGTGGCCAAAACCCCTCTAAAACCAGCCTGGTCGACCAGCTAAAACTAGCCAACCAGCCTAGGCTGGTTTAAGCTGGATTTTTCAGCAGGGTGTCGTTCTAGTTTAAATGGCACCTATATTTATTATCATTCATTCATTCATTTTCTTGTCAGCTTAGTCCCTTTATTAATCCAGGGTCGCCACAGCGGAATGAACCGCCAACTCATCCAGCAGGTTTTGACTCAGCGGATACCCTTCCAGCCGCATCCCATCTCTAGGAAACATCCATATACACACACACTCATACTCATACACTATGGACAATTTAGTCTACCCAATTCACCTGTACCGCATGTCTTTGGACTGTGGGGGCAACCAAAGCACCCGGAGGAAACCCACGCGATCGCAGGGAGAACATGTAAACTCCACACAGAAATGCCAACTGAGCCGAGGATCGAACCAGCGACCTTCTTGCTGTGAGGCGAACATGCTACCCACGGCGCCACTGCGTCGCCTATATATATTTTAAATATATTTTAATATATTTATTTATTGTCAATAAATATAAAGATTTGTTTATATTTATTAAAAAATAAGTAGAATTATTATTATGATTATTATTGTTATTATACAAATATTCTAAATAAATAACTAAATCAAATCATAAATGTAACTGAAAAATAGACACAACTAGTCATATGCTAACATTACTAACAAAATATTACTGACACACACACACACACGCACACACAGAAATATTATGAAGCTTTTAAGCACTCAAAATTGTGAAAATCTAAAAATAACGGCACACCTTAACATGTTCATCAGTCAATCAGAATCAAGCATTTAACAGCCTGTATACACAACTGTAATACTTTATGGTTAACCATGCAAAACCCTGCATCAATACACTTTCTTCTTTCCATTCTTTCAACCATGTTTCTTTGTTGTTAGCAGCATTAAGACAACTCTCCAACAAGGCCAATCCCATTGCTCATGTTGCTCTTAATGCTACTATTGATTTCCTGCATGCATTTGTGAAATGCAAGGATAACTACCGTAGAGCGCTGCAGATTTAAGAGACTTCCCTGTCAATTTCGGTGTTCACTGGCCAAAATAATGTGCCATTGACCTCATTATTGTTCGCACTGTACTGTTAAAGTCAGCAGCCTCAGGTTCAGCCTGCTTACTAGAAACGAGTAATTAAACACTACAGTTTAATGCAGAGTGCCAATAAAAAGACAATTAGCGGCACAGCTTCACTGCTCAAATTATTAAAGCATCTTTAAGCTCTTCTAACTCCAGATTAGTTTCTGCTGCGCTAATTTGTGATTCCTTGTGAGGAACGGATGACTAAATATTTGACTCTTTGTTGGCCTGGCCTGGAAGAGTTCACCAAGAAATTGAAGTTTTAGCATTTAAATGAGCATACGTAGCACAACAACTATACACTGTAAAAACATATTAATGAACAGTTTATGTATCTTGAGTTTTCCATTAATGTATGCTTCTGAATTGCATTTGGAATGTTGATCTCTTCTGTTAACTTTTAATGTTGAAAATTCAACTATACCGTTTACCAAAGTGGCTTTTATTGACATTTTAGTCATTTAAAATACCACCCTAAATCAGAAAAGTTGGGACAGTATGAAAAGCACAGATTAAAAGTAGTGATTTTGATAGATTTGCTCCTCAGTAGCTATGTTTCCATCCAAACATGCAGATGAACTTTATACGCAATTTACGCAAAACTGGATTATCGCATAAAAAACATGCAAATTAAGCAGCGTTTCCATCCAGCGAGTCAAAGCGAACAAAATCGTCACTTCCTGATTAACTAGTGCCAAATATCAACAGTAAAAACTAAATAAAAAAGTACCTAAACTAAAAAACAAACTACCTAACAGTAAAAAATAAATAAAGGGCTTGTATCAAAAATGGTTTAAAAAAAAACAACAAAAAAAAAAAAACAAGTAAAATAAATATCGATATGCTAGAAATATGTTTACTGGTTTACTTTAGAGGGAGATTTTTTTCACTTTTCCTCAAAATAGGTTGATGTGGGCATTGTAGCACTTTAAATGCATGTAATGCCTGTTTCATTCACACTTGAGCAGAAATTCCATATATGCCTCATAAAAAGTAGTAGAACACTCTAGGAAATCCCTAATATGGATGAAGGCATCCAGCTATTGCTGAAGTTGAATGAAAATAAGATCTGAATAAACATAAAAAAGGCTATAACTGATCATTTACACAACAATTATGTGTTCTTCCAGCCATTTTAGAAAGAAATAAGAAAGTCAATTTATAATTCGATGCTAACTGACATAGCATGTTACAGTAGAATATAGCTATAAAATAATAAGCTAGATGCATGAACTCAGTGATTTAATTTTACAGAAACAGATGTGACTGGCTATATCATATCTAGATAAATATGTCTAGATATCAGAATCTAGAAAGCTAGTACAATTTACGTTTTTTCTGAGTAATTAACATTACATTTATTTCACCAAAGCGACACACATTTTATACTGTGAAAACAAATATTAAGCTTCATCAGTAGTTAGAACTATTCAGTTTGGCGAAACAGTTGTATTATTACCTCATCAGCTACAGCTCCTCAAAACAATGAATAAAGTGCAGTAGCGGAATTTAACACCATGTGACAACAGAGCCACTCCCACCTGCCGGTAGAAACCGGTACTGCTGAACAGCTGACTATTTAATTACCCGACACAAACGCTGTGTTAAGTGGAATGCTCATGATGTATGTGCTAATTAAGTACTTGGATAACAAAATAAATGTTACAACTTATTTTCATTTAAGTGCAACATATTCCAAAAGATCCCCTCACAACGCCACTGCCCCATACCATTGCCCATCTTAAGACTTGTTAGCAGGAGGAATGGGACGAAATTACATCTGAAACACTTCATCACATGCTTTCTTCAGCTGCTAAACATCTTTCAGGAGTTAAATGCTTTACTTTCCTAAGTTTTTTTCTGATTTTGGGTTGTATTATGGTCCATTTTAAGGGATGTAAACAATAACAGTGTTCCCAATGCATTTCCTGTTTTATAATTTTGAAATCTTCCGAGAATCCAAAAAGGTCCACATATTGATAATGTTATGATAGCGGTTTTAACATTAAGTTATAATTGAACTGCCTCGTTACGGTTATGAAATAGTCTGATAAAAAGCAGGAAATTTTCATGGGCTGATGACATGACCAAATTTAAATAGTCTATAAATGTACAAGTAGAAATAAATAGACAAATAAGTCTGTAAAGTAATGTAAGCATGGGTTTTAACCACAGCGGTTCGAACTGTAGTTCTGCCGAGTGACTAAAAAGTAATCAGCATGATGGTAAAAAAAACTGTACATTTCTAGTCAAACCATTCTTCTGCAAACTTATACCAAAAACGGAAATAAGGGCAGTGTTAATAGCTATAAATGTGGGAGAGCGTTGACATTGTGACATGGGACAATTAAGTGTTGATGTTAAATAAAAAAAAAAGTAATTCACAAATAATTGAAAATGAGATGATTTAATGACAATAATTCTCTATGGTTACGACTATTAATTACAAAATAACTGTATAAAATTATAAAATATTAAATGAACAAACATATGATACAAATTGTACCCAGCTTAAATGTAAAATTAAAATTACCAGAGGTAGATGGAGAGACAGGGGGAGGTAGAGAGAGACAAAGAGAGCAGGCCCAAAGGTTAGCCTGATTGCAGTAGAGTCAAAGACGATAAACTCTAGAGGAGGAGAGGAGCAGAGCAGGAAAAGACAGTCCAGGAAAGACAAGGGTAGGAAAAGAGACAGAGCATAGTTTTACGCTTATTTTGTATTTTACTTGACCATGTGACTAAAGCCCAAATGCTGAGACTTTCAAACTGACCAATCAACATGTGACCAATTCATAAAACCCCCAAAGTCTACACAACAGGCCCTGATCTTATCAGTATCT